GTAAAAGCAGGTACCAGTAGCCAATTGTTAACCAAATTTTATGCAAAGAAAAATACTTCCGAACAAAATGACGTGACGGCTACAGAATTGACTTATATTTTCCACACAATAAAACACAGTCTATCATACAATTCTTTGGATTGTGATTTAAAACTAGCAAGTATAGCTTTTCATGATTCTGCAATAGCCTCGAAATTATCGTGTGGACGAACCAAATCGTCCATGATTGTTCAAAATGTATTGGCTCCTTATTTGTTAGAGAGAGTGTTGCTTAATTTAAGGTCTAACAAAGTATTTTTTTCTATTCAAACTGATGCCTCCAACAAGAAAAATCGTAAATTCTTTCCCATTTGTGTTCAATATTTTGATAAGGCTAATGGCATTCAGAACAAGATCCTGGATTTTATAGAAAACGCTGATGAAACGGCCTTAGGCATGTATAGTATGTTGAAAAATGCCTTGGACAAACTAAATTTAAACATGCACTATGTAACTGCTTTAAGTGCAGATAATACTAATTCAAACTTTGGTAAGCATAACTCCTTGTATACGCATTTAAAAGAAGATAATAAAACGTTGTTTAAGGCAAACTGCAACGCACATGTTATACATAATAGTTTAAAAAACTCTTTAAATAATTTAGATATTGACGTAGAAAATATTGTCCTCAAAATTTATGCACATTTTTCCATTGCATCAAAAAAGCGTGATAAATTTATTGAATTTTGTGACTTTGTAGATGTAGAATTCCGCGAGATTCTACGCCTAGACCAAACCAGGATTCTACGTCATGTTACAACGCGATGGCTGTCATTGTTGCCAGCTATAGATCGAATAATATTAATTTGGCCAGCCTTAAAATCATACTTTTTAAGTGAAGACATACCAAAGGTATTAAAAGATGCACTTTTAATTAAAGATAATATGATACCTGATAAAATTGAAATATATTTGACGTTCCTATCTCATAGTATGCAAATATATCGCGACACTACGTTAAAATTAGAAGCAAATACTTGCACTGTTTTGGATTTGGATGAGATTTTAAAAGAATTTAGGACTAAACTAACGAATAGATTAGATCAAAGTTTTTTTGGAATTAATGTACGACAAAAGCTTGCAAACTTAAACTCCATCGAACAAAACACAATTAAGAGTGATTTTAACAAGTTTTTAAAAAGTACAATTGAGTATGTAGATAAAAGGTACGATTTTCAAAATGGCTCAATAGGTCAGAAATTAAGTAAAATGTCTTTGTCAACAGCTTGTTTTACTTTCGAAGACATAATGAACATTGTTGAAGAATTTAAGTTAAATGAGAAAATTGAAACTTTAGACTGTGATAGATTATTTGATGAAGTTGACTTAATACGAACGTGTTACCAAATTGTACACACCAAAGATGATTTCACAATTTTAAAAACGAGTGAGAAGTTTGTTCACATTTTTGAAAATGTGCCAGATATAAATAATTGTTTTCAAATTGTTTCATACATATTAAGTATGCCTGGCAGTTCTGCATTTTCCGAAAGAGTGTTTTCGATCATGAATCAGAAATGGTCTGATGAGAGAAATAGGTGTTCAGTATCTTTAATTAAAAGTGAAATAATTATTTATTTTAACGAAAAATCAAATTGCTCACAATTTTTTGAAATTGCTAAGAAAGACGAAAAATTATTAAATCTTACAAAAAGCAATGAAAAATACGTTTTTAAAAGATAGATTTAAGATTTAACCGATATATTATTTACTATGTTTATATTTTTATCTGAATGCAATGCTGTTTTGTTTTTGTTTGAAAAATGTATTTATTTAATATTAGGTAAAATAGTTATTAGTTTGATGTTCTAGTTAATAAAGATAATATTGCAAGGAATTGGTCCTTATCATTTTTGTTGAACTTGTTTTGATTTTGTTGTGCAGAATTTATTTTGAGTTGGCTTGGCAACCAGCTCAGAGTATTTTACGGTAACGCCCCCTTTTTTTGGAAAAATTTTAACGGCGGGATTTTTCCATGTCCTCCAACCCCAAGCTTAAAAGGTGGCAACCCTAGTAACTTCGTATTATTTTCTGAACATTATAAAATATATGTATTTAATACATATATTTGTGTAAAGGTCTAAATTTAACAAAAACTACATATATTGTAATATTTTCAGAAAATAAGACGAAATTATCGTTAAATTGATTAATAACTTTAATTATATGTATTTAAATGTCAAGGAGAAACTTTAGGGTGCGGACTCCATATATGGACGTAGTATACTACGTCATACTACAGATGTGCAAAATGCTCGTGCGCACATTGTGTCTGTTATGAAGTTACGAATTTTTCAAAACAATTGCTTTTATCAAATACCGAGGGGTAAACAACGGGCGTAATAGGCGTACAAATTGGATGTAATCTATTACACTTTATTGTAATACCAAGTAATATTATGTAATTGCACGTAATATCACGTAATAGCAGGTAATATCACGTAATATCACGTGATAGTTAAGTAATACAACGAAATACTACGTAATACCACGTAATACTTTGAGTAATACGTAATACATAATATGCACATTTTGCGCGTAACGGTGCGCGTCATCTATATTTGAATACCGCTGTATACCGCTGTATACCGGTAAATTTAATTTGACCTAAAATTCGTATTTTTTCTGGTTTTTAATAAATTTAACCATACCTAGTAAATTCTTAAAAAGTTAGCATTATAAAGTTGTTAATAGTTTTATTTTTTTTTTATTATTTTTTTTTATTCATGATACCTAATGTTTTAACGTAAATTGTACTAACCTAACAAAGCAAAAAAACTAAGTTCAGATCGAATATATAGAGTAAAATCATCTTAAAAATAATTATTAGGATGTTTTTGGTAATTATTATTGTCTTAATAATTATTGTGCAATAATGTTTTATGTGTATGTATATAAATTATAATTTATAACGTTATAACGGTTATTTTATAAAGTTTATTTTGCAAAATGTTTTTTATTTATACTTGAGATATTAAAAATGGAAAGGTACCTAAATAAAAACCTCAATAAAAACATAATACCTAATGTTTTTAAAATGTTATGTTTAATCGGTGTATAATTTATTGTTGTAGGCTAAAAAAATCATTATTTACCGCGTTTTAAGTCGAAACTTTCGACCGATCATAAATTTCGATAATAACCTCACTTTCTACTTTTAATAATTGTTTCATCGAGCGTTTAAAGAGACGTTTAATAAATATGGAGCAAACTTGCAAAAGCCGATAAATCCATTTTAACTTATTCCGAGATATTGTCCAAAAATGTGTAAAGCAGAGTGCCCCAAATATTTAAAAACTATTAAAAGGGAATGTTGCTCCTGTTGGGTTGTCTCTGTTTCGGTTTTTACTTAAAATTCTGTGAGTCAAAAGAGTTTACCAAAATAAGTAAGAATCGGTACTATCCTCTTAAAATGTAAAAATGGATTTATCGCTTTTTGCATGTTTGCTCCACAAATAAAATTGTGCCTTGAAGAAAACATATTTATGCCATTCTGCCAAGGAGTATTTTTTGTGCTTCGATTTATTATAATGTGTTGACAACTGTTAACATTTTAATAGTATATTACACTACAAGGGCAGTGTGAGATTCCTCGGCTTCGCCTCGGGCATCATGGCGCGCAGTTCAGGGCTCTCACACTTTCTGCCCGTGTAGTGTATACTAATTTTCTTGCTACCCGGCCGAAAATACGGGAAAAAATTAAATGTGTATATCGAAACATATTGATGCCTGCCCCGACATTTGCGGCACGAGCGATATTATAGAGGGCGCGCGTATAGCTTGACCATATATCGATATATTTGTATATTTTTTATTTTGTAGAAAGATAAAAAATTACATTTTCTTACTACTTTGGCCGAAAATACGTATAGCTTGACCAATGCATCAAACGTAAACTTTCTGCCGTGGAATCGGGGACGAAACAACGTATTTTCGGCCGAGGTAGTAAGAAAAAATATTTAATATGCATATTATGTATATTAGTTACCTAACCTCAATTCTACATTTTTATACCTTCAAAAATTAATTTATAATTAAAATTATAGATGGCAGCACTTACGTAATACTTAGTAATAGGACGTAATATAACGTAATACCAAGTAATACAACGTAATATTAAGTAATAAAACGTAATATTAAGTAATACCAAATGTTATTACGTAATACGAGGTAATACATGGTAATTTTACGTAATACTTGGTAAGTATTACGCGTTTTGCGTAATGGGCGTACAAATTTGGCCCGGTTGTTTACCCCTCGTCAAATACCCATAACTTTTTTAAAAATTGAGATTTTTGTTTGCACCATTTTCAGAAAAAACTACCAACAAAATTTTCGATGTGAAATTCTATGAAATTTTTTAGATAAACCATTAATTTTTCAAAGTTAGCCATTTTTAATTTTCTTTTTTTTTATAAAAAAAACTTCTATTAATTCTGCGAACAATGGTGCTGCCAGAGTGGGCCGACTTTTCTTTCTATAATTTTTTTAATTTAATTGATTCTTACTGTCTGTCCACTCTAAGTTGGCTGAACTAAGGAATTTTGTTGTTTAGATATTAAAGAATTGTCGTACTGTGTGCTTTTAAAACAGATTTTATATTATAAATAATACTAGTATATAATATGTACTAGTATTATTTATAATATAAAATCTGTTTTAAAAGCACACAGTACGACAATTCTTTAATATCTAAACTACAAAATTCCTTAGTTCCGCCAACTTAGAGTGGACAGACAGTAATTAAGTTGCACCCTCAGACATGGGCTTTAGGAACATTTTTAGTGGGGTAAAAAATATAAAACAAAATCAGCCAAATCGAAAGGGACGACCCATAAACATTTGTATTTCTAACAATTTACATACATTTTGTATTTTTTTTAGCAATAATGAGTAAAATCCAACTATTTTTTCTACATAAAGAATAGGAGTAATATAAAATACATTTTTTATTATTATTTATTAACATGATATGTACAAAATATTTTAAGATTTTCCAAATAGAGACAAAAGCTCAAAATGAATATTAATATTTGGTATAATGTTTGAAAAATGCAAATGCCTTTCAATATTGGCTTCTTGTTTTTTCAATATTTCATGAAATAGTTTTTCCTCTTTTTTTACCCAAGGCCTACGATCGTCGTCTATTTGATACGGCGTAACGTGAATATGAATTCGTATACCTACAATTATAAATTATTAAAATAACCACATGCAATTAGAATATTTAAAACTGACTCAATCACCACCACAGTTTTTATCTATAGTCTGTGTTTTTAAAAGAGAAAATACTATCTGTCGTTAGGGCGCTCCGATCACTGGGTATCATATTATATTGTAATTCTTACCTAATCCCGTTAAGGTTTCTAATAAAGGTTTGGACGTTATCCACGTATTCTTCCCTCCCGAATGTCCTCCATCTAGCCAATACATTTCCTTTATTTTTGAAATAGTATTTAATAAATTAGAGTCATCGGGAGATAATGTTTTAAAAAAATGAAATTCGTAAAGAAATTGATTTAATACAACACATCCTTTACTAAATCCAACAATAATGAGATCATATTTATCCAAACTAATATTATCCCTACGCCAATTTTCGGTTTTAAAATCAACTTCATGATTTGTTTTAATTTCATTAAAAGTTGCATTATCTGATGATGAATCATTCTAAAAATAATAAATAATGTTGTAAATAATTAATAAAGGGTCGTTTCCTAAAATTTAGATTTAGAGAACAAAATCTGAATATATGTAGAAATTAAAACAATTTTCAAAAAACATACTGATAAAAAAAAAGTTTGCCTCATAATATAATACATACCAGTTTATTAATTTCCTGCATAGCAGACTCTGATGTTTCTCTGGCAATATTTAAATCACAATCAGTCATGGTGTGCAAAGTACTGGAAATGTTGGTCAATAATTGTTCTAAATGAAGCAAGGCATAATGCATCGGTGTGTGATCTGGAGCGCCACATTTACTGCTTGGGACAAAGTTTTCAAAACAACTAAATGTTTGGTATTCCATTCTAAAATAAACAATATACAATAAAAACAATAGTATATATAAAATATATAACAATAGTATATATATATAATATATTATGTATCAAGTTTGATAAACGCCATTTTAGTCACGAATTTAATTTAGCTTGCGAGCGAGTGCTTAATTAAATGAGTGCCTAGAAAAGTTTATAAACGAGTTGCATACTATACTTTTTCTACGACAAATACCTACTTAATATTATCTAAAAAATTATCTAAATTAAATATTTGTATAAAGCGACATCTATACGAAAATAAAGTAACCATCCCAATAAACATTTTTGACGTAATTTTCACAATTAACATTGCCCCTTATTATTTTAATTAACCCAAACAATTATTGATACTTTAAAATATTAAAATAACTTCAAAATATGATTATGTTGAGAAAATATTTTATTCTTTGATTTTTTTATCACTATATTTGCAAAATAATATCACAAAGTATTAAAAAGTCTTACACGGGAAATGTTTAAGGTACAAAAAGTGACAGTTGTATTTATTGGAATTCCCATTAGAACTTTTAACTTGGTCGTTAAAATCTCAAATTTTTCTGGGAAAATCAAAATTTATCCCTTGAAAATAGACTAACAATCGATATAGAAGCAGTTTTTCACAGTGAAAGAGAAGGCAATGTTTTATGGGCACTGTACGCAAAACTTTTAACGCTTTATCAGTTAAATCTAGTTTACTGCACTACTACAGAGAAATCAAAAGGTCAGGAAAAACGTTCATATAATCTTTCCAAATAATGACGTCAAAAAACTATTTAATACTTTTGTATTTTTGTATTATTTTACAAGAAAGGCACTTTATTTTAACAACTGTATGACATTTGACAACTTCCAACTAACTTAAAACTAACTTCAGACCGTGACTAATGCGACATAAAGCCACAACTTGTCAATGTGTATTTAAAAGGTTACTTAGTGTCGAAAATGGTCGATAAAGAGAGTTTTAAAGGTGGGAATAGAAACAATTATTTAAGTACATTAGGCATGTTGCTTAATATATGATTCAATTGGATTGATTTTGATTAAAATATCCTTTTTTATGGTATTTATTTATATTTGATTTGCTTATAACTTATAATATTATTATAAAGTTATAAAAGTTATAAAGTGCTCTTTTAGTTCCACCCTTACATCCAAACTAAGATGTCCCATAAGCCAACTGAATGGCTTGTGCGGGTTAGGGGTAGGAACGGACCGACGGCTTTAAGTCCCCTCCGAAGGACTATACACAATGGACAAACACAAATAAACAACCATACCCAAGTGGGATTCGAACCCACGACCTCTCGGCTCGTACCCAGGAGCTCTGACCACTACACCACCGAGGCCTGGTAAATGTCAAAATACCTACGCAATTACTTTTATTATTTTACATAAATTATTTAAAAAATGAAGAATAAAATACTATCTGAAAAAAACCTGATTTGTTTCCGTGGTTATATATATTCTATATGAGGACCCTATAAGCCAAGGGGTATAAGTACATTTTGTTTAGTTTTGAAATAATCATTTTTAAAGTAAAAAAACACTTGTAATTGGGGGTCAAAATTGTTTGTGGTTTTATGACTCGGTTTTTCAACATGTCTTAGCTTAGAATTCAGTTATATCCCTTGGATACCAAGTAAAATGTACCATTTACTACCTTTTTCTGTACATAACTACTTTTTTTTTTTAAATGTCACTTGTATCCCTTGGCTTCTAGGGTCCTCATATAATGGTGGTTATATAGAATAGATAACCTAAGATACACCTAAGGTACCTACTGGTAAGTAATACATAGAGGAATAGAAAATATGGAAAAGGTTTTGAAAATACAATCTATTGCATTTACCACGACGATATAGCTAGATAATGCGTCAGATGTTGTAAGATTGTACATACTATTACTGTTCAATGGAGAATTCATAGCAATATATTGTAAGCCAGTGTAAGGGCTATCAAAGCAAAATTATTACACTTGACTTAATCCTTTACCACCCACAAATATGGTGCTTAACATACCTTGAAGGACGAACAACCACAATATGATTTTCCGGAAATTTTTTTTGAAGGATTCTGGCAGTGTTATCCAGGTTCCATGGAATATAGTTTTTATTATCCCTATGGGATAGCATATTTTCAGTAAAATCCTAAAAAAAGTGTTATAAGACACAACAAAAGAAGGCATTAAAACAAAAAATGATAATTTCGTATTATTTTACCATTAAATTTAAAAAGATGTATGTACAGGGTGATCCCCTATAATGTCGCCCCCCTTTAACTTTTTTATTTTAAGTGTCCCAAAAAATTTAAAAGTATGGTTATGTAGGTACTAAAAAATACTTTTTTTCTATGTTAATAAAAAATGGAAAATTGATCAATATACAGGGAAAAACAAAAAGTTTATTTTTTTTCAATGGATCACCCTATATATGAATTTATTTTTCGATTCCTTGTAAATTTATGACCATAATTCATATAACAAACCATATACCTAAATTCAACCGTTTCTGAAATATTCGCATTCGAAATGTTATCATTAAATGTTTTTATCTTCACGCGGTCTATTATTTAAACTTTATTGTTGTCAACATTCGATAAAGAAATACCTTGTTATGGCCTAGGCCGATAATAGTTATTTACGTGTCAAGCTTTGTAAATGAATCTTTACGGGCGAGCTGAAAGTAATACAGTGAGCCTAGTAAAGATTAATTGCAAAGCGTGACACGTACACTATTTATTTTCACCTTTAGATAAAGATTTTCAAATTTAAAATTTTAATTAATATGTAAATGTGACATTTCATTTCATAAATTGCTTTTCTACAAGCCTGTAAAACTTTACAGGTCTTTTATACAAGCCCGTAAAATATTACAGGTCTGTTCCCATAATGTATCTTTTACTTGGATACAAAAACAACAAAATTAACCTATAAAATGTCATTTACTAAAAAGGTGGAAATAAAAAATTTTATGAGGCAAGTAATTAGTTCGATTTTTTCTCGCTAGGGGTATTCTTTTTACAAATTAATCCTTTTCTACGAAATTAACGTACTAAACTGGTTTAATTTATTTATAATAAGCACTAATTTGTTTGTTTTACTGTTAGTGTTTAATATTTTTCATTAAATTATTGTAAAATTAAATATGAATAATAAAACAAAAAGTGAGGTTAGGCAACCAAGAAAACGCACGATTCTTTTTCTACGATTTAAATTATCTTTAAGTTTTAATTTGCTTTAAGTTTTCAGTGAAATCATATGTTAAACACAGCTTAAACATTCCAAACTACCTATTTTTTTTTAAATAAAAATCCAAACAAATTGAAATTAGATACCTACCTATTTATTAAACAATTAATTGAATTCAATGTAATAGCAAAAATCCATTTCTACTTAAATCATGTTGCTAGGTATTGTCAAACTATTACTGCTTCTAAAAGCAATAATAATTATTGTACATTTAATGTAATCCTTAGCTAATAAATAAATGCGATTATAAAAAGTGAGGTTAGGCCGCTTTGATGTTGAATTAAATTGACCTATATAAAGTGCTTTGAAGATAAAATGTTGTATGCCATTCGGCCAAGAAGTGCCTTTTTGTGCTTCGCTCAACCTTGAGCTTAGCACAAAAAGCCTTACTTTTTAACCTAATGACATAAATAACTATTTTAAACTGTTAGAAATCAAGAAGCCTCAGGATACCAACATTTTTATTGAAAATAAATTACTATACGGCCATTCCAAGCCCATGGACAGGACACATCAGAAACATGTCTAAATATATTCTTGTTACTTCCTTAAGTTTACTTATTTTTTCTACGAGTATTTATGAGAAGTATTAGCCAAATTTGGCTAATACTTCTCATAAATACTCGTAGAAAAAATAAGTAAACTTAAGGAAGTAACAAGAATATATTTAGACATGTTTCTGATGTGTCCTGTCCATGGGCTTGGAATGGCCGTATAGTGACATTATGTCAATATGTCTTGTTAAATAAGTAAAAATGGCGTACTCAGACAGCAAAAGTCAAACTATTTCCACTTATTATCTTAAAAATAATTTAAATATTTCAGAAACGGTTGAATTTAGGTAGGTATATGGTATGTTATATGAAATATGCTTAGAATTTTACAAGGAATCGAAAAATAAATACATATATAGGGTGATCCATTGAAAAAAAATAAACTTTTTGTTTTTCCCTGTATACTGATCAATTTTCCAATTTTCTTTATACGTTGAAAAAAAGTACCTACATAACCACTATTAATTTTTTTGGGACACTTAAAATAAAAAAGTTAAAGGGGGGCGACATTATAGGGGATCACCCTGTACATACATGCTGCCCGAAAAGTTCCTGTAAGGGGCCGTCCATAAAGTACGTCACACGTTTACCTTCTGGCAAAGTGTGACATGGGGGTCTGGAACGTGCTTTATCACACCAAATAAAAAAAATTTATTTGCGTTTGTCGAGCTTTTTAAACTTAAATGCTTGTCAAAAGAAAATTTACTACAGAGAATAATAATAATATTTCACATTATACGCTGTAGTAAATTTTATTATAATTATTATTATTATTTATTAATTTTATTTATATATTTATATTTTTCAAAATGTTTATTTAAATAAAATTTGTATTATGGGCGCCTACTAATGCAATGATTGAAATAATCTATATATTTTTTAACCTTTTTTATGTTAATTTATCTGTTTAAGACATTTCTATTTCTGGCAACCCTAGGTGCAATCAAAATGGGGTTTTTGACAGGTCACCAGGCAACACATATATTTTTGTGGATTTTTTTCTCGCTTGGGTAGGTAACCAACAGAATTATTTTTTTTTACTTTTGACATTTTTTGTATTATAATTTCGGTACCTTTTACATTAAATAACACTGTGCAACATTTTTGAGGTCATGGAATGTAAACACCATTTTGAGTGGCGTTCTTTAAAGTACTTTATTACAGTAGGAAAACCCCAGTTGGGTTTTGCTAGTTTGTTTCCAATAAGGATTTTATTGCATTTTGAAAATTTTGACTCAGGCTTGTGTATGTTGTAGGATATATTGGCCTATTGATAACCGATTTTAATATATATTTTTTTAATTTGTAGGGTTTTTGTTAGGGATGGTCCCATAAAAATTATATGAAAAAATACCACCTCTAAGGGTGAAAAATTGGCGAATAAACTACAAATAGGTCTGTTTTGAAGCTATGATATCTTCGCCAACTGTGAACTGTTTTTTTTTAATTCTTTTAATAATGTGTAGGGTATATAAATTTATTGAAAAAAATCCACCCCTAAGTATGAAAAAAATGGAAATTAATTTTTATATTGGCATTTCATCAACTTCCCGTTTTGAAAATTGTTTCTTGGATTAAAAACATATACCAAGGGTTGTCCCATTCTCACTAAGACAAGATGACATGGTGTTGTGGTTTTGGAAGCTGAATGTAGGAAGAGTTTTGTTTTTAAATTAATTTTAAATCAAATAAAATATTTATTCTTATAAAAAATGTGAAAAAAATATTCAAAAATGTGTTACATTATAATCTAACTAGGTATAATTAATCAATATCCATTGCCATTGACGCTTCTAAAGATCTCGAGCATCCGGGAAGATTCAGCGGCATATTTTTTTTAGCGTCTCCATATTCAGTCTCCTTAGGATCTTCAGTGCTTTCATTTTGGAATATTTTTTGACTCCACCAATTGGTGTTAACATACTTCCGCAAGCAATGCATCCAGCTTTTTTCCCCTGTATCTTTTTTCCATTGGCATGGTTACCTGATGGAAGCGCTCTCCTTGTTCATCCGATTCAGTGGGCAATTGTTGTAAAAATTCATCTAGGTGAAAATGGAGGAAATGCAATTTTAATGTCATGGATACATTAATTTTTTTGAAAATAATAGAGCATTTGGCCCACCAATTTCTTCACTTCGTCTCGCTGCACACGATTCTTCCCTAAAACGCCCTCGATTACAGCTTTTAGTGCATCCCAAGCATTCCGGTGATCGTTCTTAAGGATTTTTGTGAACCTATCGTTTGCAGTTAACTTTCTGATATCTGGTCCATTAAGCACACCTGTTAAAATTTTTATTCACAATTAGAATCAAGCGAAGTTGATATAGTTGGGCCGATAGGAAATGGCCGGTATTATTCAAGTTCAGACGAATGACATTTAAAGAATTTAACCTCAATACGACAAGATGAAAAACAAATGCATCATGTCATCTTGAGAATGAGACAACCCATGGAATATACCTTTTAAACCAAGAAACAATTTTCAAAACGGGAAGTTGATGAAATGCCATTATAAAAATTAATTTCCATTTTTTTTCATACTTAGGGGTGGATTTTTTCAATAAATTTATATACCCTACACATTATTAAAAGAATTAAAAAAAAAACAGTTCACAGTTGGCGAAGATATCTCGTATCATAGCTTCAAAACAGACCTATTTGTAGTTTAATCGCCAATTTTTCACCCTTAGGGGTGGTATTTTTTTATATAATTTTTATGGGATCATCCCTAACAAAAACCCTACAAATTAAAAAAATATATATTCAAATCGGTTATCAATAGGCCAATATATCCTACAACATACACAAGCCTGAGTCAAAATTTTCAAAATGCAATAAAATCCTTATTGGAAACAAACTAGCAAAACCCAACTGGGGTTTTGCTACTGTTATAAAGTACTTTGAAGAACACCACTTAAAACGGTGTTTACATTTTTAGTGTTGCACAACAGAATTATTTTTTTTTACTTTTGACATTTTTTGTATTATAATTTCGGTACCTTTTACATTAAATAAATGTAAAATTCGGTATAGCGTAAGTTAAGTTAATTGAATAAAATAAAAAATATTTTAAAAATAATAATAATAATAGGCAGGTAGGAAATTAATTGTGGCTTAAAATATGTTACATTAGTATTAAAAGCGCTTGCTGCCAATTTAACTTTCTCTTAACATTTGTTACACTTAATAATTGCATCCAGGCCGTCCCTATATTTATAAATTTTCAAATATAACGTGAATTTGCAGTGCAAATTAAGGCCAATTCTCACATAGCGACGCGACGCTACGCTACGCGACGCAACGCTACGCTACGCGACGCGACACTTTAAAATGTAGCTGATCAACGCGACTCGACAATATTTTGTTGCTTCCTGGAGCGACAAAACTGCGTTGGTCAGCTACATTTTAAAGTGTCGCGTCGCGTCGCTATGTGAGACTTGGGCATAACATTCCAACCCAGTTACCCGCCAGCTTTTGGTTCGCACATGACGTCACACGGTGCGAGAGAGATAGCTATAACATGCGCTGACGCGGTTTTTGTGTATCGTGCCTTCAAAAGGCAACCACAATCTCCTATTAGTGTGGCTAAATATGACATGGCTTAATGACTGATCATTACATCTGACAATTTTGTGCATAATTTGCATACAGCATGATTTTTAAATCAATTTATTTTAAAAATTCGTTTTGACTGCAAAATATTCTGTTTACTACAAAACACGAATTTTTGCTGGCGTTTTGTACTGTCAAAATATGATAAACAACTTCCTCCTTCAATTACGATGAACACAGCCCCTATGATGTTCTCTGCCGCTGGTTATGTACGCCATATAATGTGTACATATAAAAAATTAAATAAAAAAGTAATTTTCAACCACTTGAAGTTGCTTAAAGTTTATGTAAGAATGTATTATTTTAAGTCTTAAAATAGTATTTTTCTACTTCTATTATCGAGGGGTAAACCACTGATTTTTTAAATTATAAATCGCTTACGAATTAACGGCTAAGAATAACAATAACAAGGGTAGTCATGCGCAAAGCGTCGCTAAGCACTGATTAAGCAAGTTTTCCTTATTGATAACGACTGATAAGGAAAAAAATCACAACACAACGTCCACTAACATTGAACGTTGGTCTCTAAAATTTTAAAGTAACCCCTCGCCTATTATGGAATATGACCGTTTCAATATTAAATTTTAATGTGGAATGACATGGGGAGTTGCATTCCAAAACTCAGCTTATCCATATTGGGTGATTTTGAGCAAAATTTCAAAAACCTTACACGTGAGTACTAACGCATATTAGGCCAACAGAATAATTTAAACGAAATATATAATAATAATACTCTTTATTTTAAAAATAATTCCACAAATACAAATTATTAATAAAAATAATGTCACAAAAAAAACTATAAATACACAGGAAAATCTGGGAATTTCCTGTAGGTATTCGAAAATATTATATGGTTCCAAACTAATTAAGAAATCAAAGACCTTGGCTTTAAAAATTTTAACTGACTTTATCACAGATTTTAGTTCATTTGGCAGATAGTTGTAGCTTTTAATACAAATGTATAGAGCATCTTTTTCAGTTGTTGTTAGTCTGTGTATTGGAAAAAAATAATCCAAAGTACGAGTAAAATTTACCCTCTTTTTAAATCTATCAAAAAGCCTAGGATTTTTACAAAAAACATTAAACATTGATATATGTACACACCAATAACAGTTAAAATTCTTAATTGACGAAATTTTTCCCTACAGGCATAAATATAAAATTTATACCTTGATAAAAAAGGTATAGCTCCAATTTGAAATAATTTAAAATTACATACGTATAAGCCAGTTCTGACATGATATAACCTATAGATAAGGCTTGAGATAAGGCAAGTTTTGGAACCATAGTCAATGGACTAAGGTGCGTTTTAAAATATTATTATATACACCACTAACTCATTTTTATTAAAAAGTGGATAAGCCGAGTTTTGGAATGGACCTCCTCATATATTCCTTAAAGTATTGCAGAATAAATTATTCTATCATCGGATAACGGAATAAACACTGGTGGCGACATCTCTGTGTTTAATATCTATAATTTAAGACAAATCCAACCTCCCCGGACAACATTCGTGATATTCATACGAACATCATGTCGTGATTTTCACAAATTTTATTCATACTGATATCATACGGAAGTCACCGCGTGATAAATGAAAATCATACGAACGTCACGTCGTGATTTTCACAAATTTTATTCATACGGACATCATCCGGATGTCACTGCGTGAGAAATGTAAATCATGTCGTGATTTTTTATGCCATCGGTGTTTGGATATTTATTTTTGCGCCACATTCGTACATTGAAAGAAAAAGTATACCTACATATATATTGAATTAACAGTTTTTGTGGTTAAATACATATTGAATATTTTTTTGGATTAAAATAATTATTATTAGTTAATTTACATCCAAGAAAATATTAAATGTATTTGACCGAAAAAACTGGTAATTCAATTGTTAACATACTTTTTCTTTCAATGTACGAATGTGGCGCAAAAATAAATATCCAAACATGTCGGTGCACCGATGGCATAAACAATCATGTCGTGATTTTTTATGCCCAAACACCGATAGCATAAAAAATCATGTCGTGATTTTTTAGGCCATCGGTCAATCGCAAACAGTGATGGCATAAAAAATCACGACATGATTTTCATTTCTCACGCAGTGACTTCCGGATAATGTCCGTATGAATAAAATTTGTGAAAATCACGACGTGACGTTCGTATGATTTTCATTTATATCGCGGTGACTTTCGTATAATATCAGTATGAATATCAAGAATGTTGTCCGGGTTCAATTAAAAAAGATATTCCAATGTTTAACAAAACGTTCATGTTTTGTTAAAAATTGGAATATCTTTTTTAATTGAACCCGGACAACATTCGTGATATTCAAACAACGTTTTATAAATTATAACGGTGTAATGTGAATAACAAACTAGGTTTTAAATTCGCAGTTCGCAGGGCTCATACGCATGCGCAAATTTTGCAAATATCACACCGTGAGTTCTACATGATAGCACTGTGATGAAGCATGTGTATGCACTCAGGATATCACAGCGTAATAAATAAATAAAACTTTCTCCCAATTATTTTTCTATGGTATTTTTTGGAAACGTAGAAAAAGTATAGTCTGAAACACGTTTGGATTGGCATATTCCGCTCTCGTGAAACCGTCAAACTCGCCTTCGGCTCATGTGACAAACTTTTCACTCGAGCGGAATATGCCGTACTCCAAACTTCTTACAGAATATACTATTCCGTGCAACTACAATAAGTAAAATGGTGGTATATAATTTTAAAATAATTTTATTTTAAACACAATTTGGTAAGGAATTTTCTTAACGAATACCGCGCGAGGTTAAATTAAATCCTAAAAAATTTTCTCCCTCATGAATGTTTTTAGGACTATATTCCTTGTCTTTGACTCGGAATAATTTGCATGAGTTCAAAAAAATTTCCGGAAATAATTTAACCTCTTGTGGTATCACTAGTGAAAATATTTATTTCCGTAAATAAACTGCACTTACCATGGTAACGAATAATGAATAAGTAGTAACATATTAACATATTAACTAAACGGGCGTAGATCAACTTAAAAACCTATAAAAAGGCTACCTGTATATTCCCTTGCGATAAAATTGTTATAATTTGCAGATACTAGAACATGTGCGTTAGATTTACAAAAAAACAATCTAAGTGTGAAGTGTGACCTTGACGGGGAGGGGGATCGGGACTTTAGGACCAATATGCGACAGTGGTAATTACCAAAAAATGTGTGACGTATGGACGGCCCTTAAGTTGGCACCACTGTACCCAAGATTGGGCTCAATCTTTGCTTAATAGGTGCATTGGTGCCAAGTTACAGAAGAAAAAAATTTGATAACTTTTATGTGGGCCTTTTAAATGATGCTTAAAATATATGCTGTTAATAAATTAGGTATTTTAGTACTAACCTGAACATCACCTCCAAAGTAAACAGTAACACATTGCTTTTCCTTTACGTTGGTAGGGTAACAATAAATGATTTCATTGCTTCGCTCTTCATACCCATTAATAGCGCCCAGGCGTAGGGGACCAGAATAGGTGGTAGCTAACATTCTTAAAACATTTTTTGCATCTGAAACATTAATTTTATACGTGTTAATAATACCTATGTATATAGTTTAAAATTTATAAATATTGTTTGAAATAAATTTAAAAAAAACAGCTTAAAAAAAATAAAAAAGAAAAAATAAATTATTTTGAATCTTAAACTGAATATTTTATAAAAAAAAATCAAACGTTATATATAACGTTTAACAACAAACCCAACTAGCAAAATAAATCCCTTAAAGAACTGAATTGTTTTATAACTATCGTCTAGAGCTGCAAAAAGAACATTTTTATTGTTTAATGCGTCTTAATACAATAATTTTATCGTAAAAACGACGAAATTCTAATACATTATTGTATATATATTCTTACAACTCGTGTTATAGAACCAAACTCATACACATTTTTAACCATTGTATAACGTTTTATACAATCCCTTATAAAATTATTTTAAAAGAGTTGTATAAAAGTTATAATAGATCTCGAGTTGTATACCTATTCTTATACTTGTAGTTTCAACGTTTTATGATAGTTGTAATAGAATTTGTATAAAAGTTGTATTGAAGCTCTATAAGATACATTAAAAAATTGTTTTTTTAAGCAGAAGTAAACACACTACACAATAAGTATAAAGTTATTTTATAATTATCCTATAACTACACCGATTAACTTCTTTATAGAAAGTTTATAAAATAAAATTATCGCAAGTTCTGCGTTATAATTTTATTACTTAAGTCTGTTTATACATTTAGTGTCTTATTACGCCAAAATAAGTTAAGTATTTTTTTAAAATGGAGTCGCAATGGAAAAAAATTAAGAAAAGTGGGCATTTTAAAAGAAGAGCAAAAAAAAATTATCAGAGAATGATTCAGTCTTCTGGAAGTACTGCCGCAATAGAAAATTCTATTCAACATTTAGTTGAGGCACCAACTCCAAATTCTTTTACAATCGATAGGTTAGGTCACATGTAGATGAAGAAGGTACCGCTAAAAAGTGGATAAAACAGAACACAATTGTATAGTGCGGTACAATGCATACCTTAAGCGATATTATTGTTCTATTGCGCAGTAGGCAAAGGCGTTATAGCCAATACGAAAAATGAACTTACAGGGTTGTTATTTTAGGCAGCAGTGTTACCTACAAATCCTTATTTGCATAAAAAATGAAGGTAACGTCGTGCAGGATAAATAAAATTTTACTTGATGTACCTAACTGCACCAAAAATGAGTATTTTATTCAAAAAAAAAAAAATAATTTAAAAAATACAGATAAAATCTGGTAACATCTCAAATGTCAGTTTCTTGCTTTACTTTTATAGCGCCTGTATTAAACAACTTTACAGAACCTAAATATCGTATAACGCACGCGACAGAGCAGATAAATTGTATAACGTTTTTATAAAGACAAAACCATTTTATAACAAAAACGCCATATTTATTGACCGATCAATTGTTTATAAATCGCCGCCATTGTGTGAATTTTACCAACAAACGTTAAAACTGTCAATTAAAAATGAATTTTCTTGAAAAAAATTAATGTAATCTTAAGACTAGTCAATTATAAACTGAACAAATAAAACAATAATATTCTTAAAAAACATGAAACTTTGTCAAATAAAAAATTAATTTTTTTTTTAAATAATTTTTAGTAGGTATGTTTGTTAACTGGCGCTTTAATTTTTCGTTAAAAATATATACATATATTGTCAGAAAAGATTGCTCCGCAGGAAGATGTTGTCCTCGATAGCGTAAATCTCAAAGGTTTAATAATTATATTTACATAATAAACAACAAGCACCATTTTGGATCTTAGCCGTTTGACATCCAACATAATTCGCATTATAAAATAGTCTTAGGATAAAAATTTCCCACTCCATTCCTAATTTCTAGAGAAGGAAACAAATTGATGTTCTTATAACGATTCTGTCGCATTATAACATACTTATAAAATGCTTGTTTTAATATTCTATAAATATTCGTAAAGTGCAATTAAGCTGCAGAGTAAAACCGCTATAGTATAATCGTATAGCAGTTCCCCAGTATACTGATACTGAGTTTTATAAGGGTTGTGTAGTGTATTTATATAACTGCTAACGAAGTAAACTGTTTTATAAAACGGGGCCCTTTTTGGTTGAGTAAGTGTTGTATAGTAGTTTTTAAACGCATTATACAATTTTAGCGTTTCTCTAATATGTGTTGTATAGCAGTTCTAACAACTCTTACATAATCAATTTTGTTAGCTGGGAAGTGCTAATATAAAACCTATATATGAATATATACAGGGTGTTAAGTATGAACAATAAATTTAACAGACGATTTTTTTGAGTGATTTTAAGACAAAAACCAATAAAAAAAAAGTTGAACACCCTGTATCTTAAAAACTAAGCATGTTTATATGAACTTTTTGTCTTAAAATCACTTAAAGAATCGTCTGTTTAATTTATTGTACATTCTTAAGTAACAGCCTGCGGCCTGTATAGGCATAGGTTCTATTGGCCACACAAAATAGACTTAGTTTGGAAGTCTAGAATTTATGACAAAAGATATTAAATTAAAGATATCATAAAACAATCTGTAAACTTGTATAGTTCATAATTCTTTTATTCAATTAACTTTGTCAATTAAATAACCCATAGGCCTAGTCATCATCATCCAAAATTTAATGTCAAAGTTAGAAATTGTTTTTTATCTTTTCTTTGATCAACTTTATTAACTAATGTATATTTTTGCGGTTTAGATACATCTGCATCCATGCCCATGGGCACACACTGTGTGACACACATTAAATTTCTTAGTATAAGGCAAAATTCAAAAAGGGGATTAAAAAACTAAATTGTTTCAAAATATATTAAATATGGTTCCAAAGGGGCCAGTGCCCATAAGTTTTTTTCGTAAGTAAATAATATTCAGTAGAAAATAAATTATTTTATTTAATATAATAAATTTGTACAAATACCTATTTTTTATTATAATAAGTTGCCATGAATTTCTTTAATACTTCTAAATGCTGCTGCAGCTACTTATCACAGAGCCTTAATTAATAAACTAAGTAGATTTTATCTATTTTATCTGTAGATTTACATAATAATAATAATTAAATACTTGTTTCGTCCCAAGGAAACAATAAAATCGTTTATTGAGAAACCTTTACAAAGTTATTAACACCAATAATACATTTAAACCTCATATTACTCTATCTATATTGCAAAAAAATGCTGCAAGTGGTAAAAAATTGGGATTCCCAAGCCTAGACCAAATTAAATTTTCCTTTAAAATATGTAAAAATCAGGGTGTCCCATTTAAAAAAAATGTTATTTTTGTGAATATTTTGGAAACCCAACGTTTAATTGTTTTTCTGTTTTCAGCATTTAAATGAGAAGAAAAAAGCTACCAATTTGCTAATTTAACCGACTTGTAGCTCCAATAATAACGGAGTAAGAATGTTAGGAATGAGGGGCAAATAACTCTGGACACAGTGTATGTTTTAATCGTGAAAAAGTTTATATATGTTTTATACCAAATTGTGTGCCATAACCTCTAGGAAGTTGTCACAACAAATGCCCAAAAAATGCCCATCAATAATTTTGTTCATTTCAGCAAATAAATAAACACTAAGCATCAGTTGGTCAGTTTTTTAGGAACTGGAACGTATTTTTTGTTGACAAACTGTTTGGCAACATAGCCCAGTTGCTTTGGTGTTCGTTTAGTACATAGAGAAGCCATAGTTACCAAAATGAGTGAAAAAAATGCGTTATTTTATTAATAAAAATGAAATCAAAACGAAAGTGCACAAAAAGAGAAAAACAATTGTATTCAAGAATGGATACAATTACATTTGAATAATATAGCAATGATTGGTCAATAATTTGCAAAATCTGCCGGAAAACCACATGTGGGAGATTTGTTAGTCTATATTATAATGTACCTTTTTCAAATATCAAAGCAGTTAATTGCTAAAATAGTTTAAGAAGTTTGCAAAGCATTGGCAGATAAAATCCAGGTAAGAAAAAATATTATCAATATATCTATATTTATTTGAACAAGTTTTTATTCAAAAAATTCTATATAATCTCCATTATTGTTACGAGATCCTATTAGAGCGTCAATAAAGTTATGATCACGTGGATCGTGCTGTATAGTATGTTGAATGTCGGAAAATTTATTGTCCTTTGATAAGACTGCCCTTGGGTTTTGTAGATCATTTGCATATCAGCATCATGGAGAATGCAATTAATTTTGTGTTCCACTTCAGCTCTAATCAATGGATCATCATATGTTCTTAATTTGTCTCCTATGTGTTCCTATGTTGAATGTTCCCTGATGATCATGTAGATTGAGCTGGTGATGAAAAAGAAGACGTAATCGAAGTTGATATGTTTAATGTCGGAAAATTCATTGTGCTTTGATAAGACTGCCCTTGGGTTTTGTACATCATTTGCATATCAGCATCATGGAGAATACAATTAATTTTGTGTTCCATTTCAACTCTAATCAATGGATCATCATACGTTCTTAATGTGTTTCCTATGTGTTCGCCTTATACGTCAAAGCGATCTCTTTTTGTTCGCGCCTTTATTACTTTATAAGCCTCATCTATTTGAGAATCAAATGAAGTTGAGCGCTTTCTCAACGTTTTCTTTACTGGTGGTCCTAAAAGCTTTACGGTATTACTACACCTTTTCCAGTTGATATTCAGAAAGTAGGAATTGTAATTCAGTTATTCCAGTTGATATTCAGATAGTAGGAATTGTAATTCAGCTATTCCAATTGATTTTAAGAGAGTAGCATATGTAATTCAGATAACACAATTGATTTTAAGAAAGTAGCAATTGTAATTCAGATAACACAATTGATTTTCAGAAACTTGCAATTGTAATTCAGAAAGTAGCAATTGTTTTTCAGATTAAATCAAATGTAATTTAGCCGCAGCAATTGTTTCAGGAACAGTGGGTTGCATACAGTAAATCGATGATGAATGAAGGTACACGTTATCTTTATTAACTAAGTAAATGAAATTTATATAAAGTACAAATGAACAAAATTCGGTCCTTACTTGCGTACGTACTTAAATGGTGATAAATTTGTTTGTTATTGTCAATTCCATGGAAACAAAGCAATATACAAAGAAATACATTAAATTGAGATTTTAGAAAATAAGTAAAATGAAGTATGAAAATGTTATCATTTGTTAATTTCTGAATTTCAATTGACATATTCTGAATTACAATTGTTACTCTCTGAATACTATTTGTAATTTCTGAATATCAATTTCTACTGTCTGAATATCATTTGCAATATCTGAATTACATCAGCTACTTTCTGAATATCATTTGAAATATCTGAATTACATTTGCTATTTTCTGAATTTCATTTGCAATATCTGAAAATCAATTGCTGCTTTCTGAATATCAATTGCTACTTTCTGAATATCAACTGGAAAAGGTGTAGACGGTTCTTCATTTAATTGAAGAGTGCTTTAAGAATCTTCAGTAAGAATTGTTTCTAATGGCATTGAGTCGTTTTGTGCATTTTGCAATTCTTGTGTCTGGAACGAAATACAAATACTTAGTACATACGTTAATTTTGTAAGGTGATAAAGAAGAACAAATAGTGAACTTGGTTAGAACAAATATTCCAAATATTTTTTTTCAGTTACGTGATTCACCTGAGATGTTTGTAATGACTATAAAAACTGCTAAGAATCAATAATTGGAAAACAGTAGTAGATGCAAATATCAATTTTTATATGCAAATGTGGGATAACAGGAACGAACTTCGAATGGTGTCGTTTTTAACAATACACTTTTAAAAAACTAAACATGACTAGCAAGACTACACGTGGAAAATACTTTTGGAGTTATATCATCAGTGTGCAGACCATGCAAGTTAATGCCAAAAAAGATGTTCTTCCATGTATTTTGTTTCCCGGATCTTGGCGGAATAAATCAGAACACTCATCTGCACTTTTAAATTTAAATAAAATTGTTAGAAATCGACAAGAGTAGCACAGAAAGTTTGAGAATAATACGCGAATTATTTTTTAACAGGAGAGTGCAATGGCAAGACAAAATGGAATAAAAAGAATATTATTTTTGTTATGGTTGTACAATAATGTAAACAAAAAATAACGAATTATAATTTCTTACCTCCTCTTGAGTATCCATTGTTTGTTTTCGTATATTCTTGTCTTTTAAAAACATTAAAAATTTATACCCAAACCAATGAGAAGTGTACAATTGATCTGTTCCTTTCCCGGATTTTGTAGCACTTTTACAACATTCTCGTCTAAACTGGGTTTGCAGAACTTTCCATTTTCGCTCAACTTGTCGCGAAATCTCTAAAGCTGTAGCTATGTATATCTTTAAATTTATTTTTATACGCCTCATTTTCAGGATTCCATATATTCGGATAATCTTTTATTAGTTTAATTAATGTTATAACTTGCTCTTCTCTCTAATCGTTAGTCATTTTTAATACGTATGTAAAGTGTGCATTTCAAACTCTATTATTATTACAATAAACGTAATTTTTAGATGAAACTGGATTTTATATTTTGTGACATGTACAAATGCGGAACGACCTGGAACAGGTACAAAACACACTACTGAACAGTTCCATTTCCACTTGATAACAGTTTCAAGCAATGTTGGAAATATGTTACTTTTTATGTGGGGGAACCTAAAGTTATTTGAATGTAAATGTGTATGTTATAAACCCAACGTTTTTTCTAATGTCTATATCGTTGTTTTTACGTTTTAAACCATATGGTTATAATATAATTTTGCTCAAAATTTCATTTTCACACAAAACCCCACTTTAAAATAACTATATTACGATTTTTTTGCACTATACATTTTTTCATTATTTTGGTGTTTTGGGGAAGGGGTAAATGCTGAAAATTATTATACATGATTTTCAAACAACGTATGAACGAGATTTACCCAATTTAAAACAGAAGGGATGTTTTTTATTTCGATTTACATTTTATTTTTTTGGGTTTTAAAAATGAGCAAAAGTTGAAAATTATTATGGTAAACTATGTGAAGCGGTTTACGAAACTTGTCCAATTAAAAAAAAAGTACATACAAAAGGGAAAAATTTTGTTTTTTTTATTATTATCTTGTGTTTATGAAAAAGAAATTGACGAGATTTGCCCAATTTAAAAAAATACAAAGTTTCATAAAAAAGGGTAAAACTTTGTTAGGAATGAAAATTCATTTTCGGGGAATAACGCTTACAATAATTATATATGCTTTTTAAACTTTGTGAAGCAGTTTAGGGGGTTAGCCCAACTTAAAAAAAAATCCAAAGATGTTTGGTATAAGAAAATAAAGTAAAATAATTAAAAGTTTCATCCCTTTTTATGGTACTTTCGATATCTTTAAACTTGGGCAAACCTTGTCAATTGCTTGACACAGTTTAAAAAGTCATTAAAATAATTTTGAGCGTTTGCCCATTTGGAAAATCAAAAAATAAAATTAATTCGAATTTCAAATTTCACCCTTTTTATTAACTTTGGATTTTGTTAAATTGGACAAACCTCGAAACCCGTTTAATATATTTTAAAAAGCTTTTATAATGATTGTATGCCCATTTGTAAAAATCCCAAATTAAAATGTAGCTCAAAAAATAAAAAAGCAGACTTTTAATTAAACTTTTTCCCATTTATCAAAAAATAAATATTTATCCTATTTATGTACCTACTTATTTTGGATTATTTTAAATTGGGCAAACCTCATAAACACACTTTAAAATACTTAAATTAATATTAAATTTACCATTTTTTATGTAGGATTTTTTTTAATTTGACAACTTTGTATATTGGTTAACATGGTTTCACAAGCCTTTATAATGCTTTTAAGCGTTTGAACATTTTTTTCAAATCCAAGAAAATAAAAACAAACTGCTACCTGCTCCTTTGATAGAATTTATTTTTTTAATCAATTGGGAATCCGCAACTGCTCAACATAGTTTGAAAAAAGGTATGGCCATCTATATATAATAATTTTTAGCGTTTGCCCATTTGGGCTATTTCCTAAAACCCCAAAAATTGATTTATATTTGATAACATATTTTGTTTATTCTGTGTGGTATAGAATATGACATATGACATTGTGGACTATCGAAAAAACTGAATCATAGGCAAACTATATTTTTCAACTTTAATTTTTAGTGACCTTGAAAACAGGAAAACAATATTATTGATAGGCAATCAAGGGCACTCCTTGGACAAACAACATCCCGGAGGTCCCTAAGTGGCATATTTTTAAATATTTTGGTTTTTTCCAATTGACGTCATTTTAACGTCGATTTGTCGTGCATAATGATATTATGTTTAACAAATAAATTACAATAATACTATAGTAAAATCAAAAATATTAAATATAGACCAGGCGGAGAAAGCTCATATTATAGCCGAGAATAGATTGTGTCTCGGCGGTATATTGTGTGCGAGGCAATAAGCTTTCGCCGCCGTGTTTTATATACTCTTTTTTAAGCATTTAAAATGATAGCTTTATTTTTGTACGGAAGTTTATAATAATTTGAGTTTTGAAATAGTATTAATGTATTTTTTATATACACTTATGAGTGTTATAATATAAAAATTATATATGCTTAAAAAAAACAGTAAATTTTATCCGAGTTGTTACATTTTTGTAGGTTTAAATTAATTATGTTTAGGTTTATACAAAATTCAAACAATATTTAAAAAAAATACTTAATAGCAATAAAAATTAATAATACTCTTGTTCTGTTTGTCTGCGCTTATAACATTTTAAACATTTCAGTCTGGTATCTTCTAAACACTGAGCAAAGTCATCTTGCAATTCCTGCACTTTAACTTTAATATCCTCGCGCATTAAGTTGTAACACATCGCCACTAGCGCCAAACCAATAAGCATATAACAAAATGTAATAACTAATTTTGTTTGATTTCCCGTAAAAGAGTTAATATCAGTACCAGGAACCAAGTCGCCTAATCCAAGTTTACACAAACTGGTAACACAAAAATATGTGCTGTCCAAATAACTCCACTTTTCCCAAGCAGTAAACATTATTGCACCAGTAAAAACATAAGCCCCTATTACCCAAAGGCATGCTGTTGATGGAACAATTATTCTTTTAGGGGGGTGGTTTGGGTCTATATCCGTACTACACTTATAGAGCCACCTGTAGCCCCATCGAAAAAATCCAGCCATTACTTCACCCATGTTTAAAAAGTATAAAACATACAGAGGTATGCCAAAAAGAGCGTAAATAATGGTGGCCACTTTACCCCAAGTTGTTTTTGGTACCATGTTTCCATAGCCTATCATGGTTATAATGCTAAGAGAAAACATCAAAGCAGCAGGGAAAGTCCACATCTCCTCTGGGTTAAGGTCGTAGCCGTGGAAAAATATCTTTACCAATAAATCTTGGTAGTGTTTCAATTGAGCATCAGATTCGCGAAAGAAATTCGCCTTTTCCAAAATGTTGTTATTCTTGGCTACTATAAACAATTGATTTAGGACATCTTTTCTTAATGCTTCCACCTTTTCTTTTTCGCCCCGTTCTTTTGCTCTACCTTCAATATTCATAAAACTAACAGCACCGATAAGGGCGTAACAAACTAACAGAGCTCCGACACCGACTTGAGTACACATAAACGCGACAAACTTTCTACCACAGTCCTTAACTTTTTCTTTGGTGTCTTTTTTATAACTATAATTACTTCGGGCAGAACCTCTGTTTGAACGCATCCTTATGGAACCAGACATTTTGCAGAAACTCTTGACACACTAATTCATTAACATATGTTCAGTATAATAGTGTATTTTTGGAAACTCAAGTTTATTGGAACGACGCCAAAAAACATAGCTTAACCAATATACTTTCATTGCCCAATTAACAGTAAAAATAATTGCGTTCCAAATTAAAAAAAAATCTCCTTCATTATTTAAAAATATATGAGAGCTTAAACAATATAATTAATTACCTTGTTTATATTTTTTTAAGTCTTACTATATAAATTGGACCTAATGTACAGAATGTTTAAACAATGGTTTCAATAGGAATAAATGTTTATTCTTATGAGAAAATGCATTTTAGGATTTTTACTTCAACAATGCGTTTGGCAACATGATATGCAAAAATTGATTATCATAACAATTAATTAGTTAATTGATTTTTATTTGTTTTCACACCATAGGCAGTTGACAGATAAAATTCAAAATTAGATTATGTCATAAGCATTTCTCTTGTATATTGATAAACTGACCAGATACTGTCAACATTTTGTATGAATTTAACTTAATTACAAAATTGACTCAATGATGCAATGCAAATTGTAAATTTGACGTTAATGTTGCAGTCTTCTTTATATGTTCTTGTATTAGGGACAGAACAAAATTAAATTGCTCAGGATTTAGCCAAAAAAATCTCTAAATTTTTTTACATCTTCTTTTAAATGGGAGTTTTTAAGCAAATTAAAATATCCTTCTGCACGCCTTTTAAATATATTATGTGTCTCACATATTTTATGTTGTATAATGCCTGTAGGAGCCACTGTTCAGCTTCTTCCTCTTCTTCTTCTAAGAGAATTAGGGTTAAAAGTTCGCTGTCCATGTTATTTGTAAAACCAGATCTTTAAAACTGAGCCAAATCGCATAAAACTAGGCGCATCAACGAAAACACTCAATATTGCGGCTGCGACTGCAATCAATCGGAGTCGCGCGAGTCGCATCAACGAAACCGTACCTTAAAGGAAGGAACATCCCGGACAACATTCGTGATATTCATACGAACATCACGTCGTGATTTTCACAAATTTTATTCATACTGATATCATACGGAAGTCACCGCGTAATAAATGAAAATCATACGAACGTCACGTCGTGATTTTCACAAATTTTATTCCTTCGGACATCATCCGGATGTCACTGCGTGAGAAATAAAAATCACGTCGTGATTTTTATGCCATCGCTGTTTGCGATTGACCGATGGCACAAAAAATCATGTCGTGATTTTTATGCCAACGGTGTTTGGATAATCATTTTTGCGCCACGTTCGTACACTAAGAGAAAAATTATTTTGAATCAACAGTTTTTGCGGTTAAATATATTTAATATTTTCTTGGATTTAAATTAACTATATATAATTAATTTAAATCCAAGAAAATATTGAATGTTAAACTGTTAATTCAATTGTTAACATACTTTTTCTTTCAATGTACGAATATGTCGCAAAAATGAATATTCAAACACCGATGGCATAAAAAATCATGTCGTGTCATGTCGTGATTTTTTATGCCATCGGTGTTTGGATATTTATTTTTGCGCCACATTCGTACATTGAGGGAAAAAGTATACCTACATATATACAGGGTGTTTCATAATATATGCGCAGGACTAGGATGTGATAGCTCATCTAAAAAGATGAAAAAAGTCGCTATTAACTTACCCTCTAAAATGCACAATTTTCGAGATACAGGGTGTTGAAATTTTAGAAAAAAATCGTTTTTTTGCTTATCGTACAAAAAACAGCTTTTGTAAGCATTTTCTACTCATAATAAGCTATGTTTTGTGCCAGAAAAAATTTTTTTTACTCATAATTGGTGGAGATTTTGAAGGGGTAGCGGGTGTTTTTCTCCTCAACTTTAACGCCCCTGAAAAAAGTACGGTTTTGAGAGGCCCATTCGAACCGCCAATGTTTTCTACACAAAAAAGGTACTCTTGGTCATAAGCTCTAAAGTTGACCGTTTTCGAGAAAAATCAACTTTTATGTTTAAAAACATGTTCAATTTAAAAAAAAAAAATTTATTACAAAATTTATTTTAACGTTAGAAAAAGTAACAAAACCAAACAATAATTGCAAAATTAAAAAAAAAAAATAAAAAATGATTTTTTACACAAATGCTGAAATGTTCGAAATGCGTTACCTTTACGGTTTGGAGAATTTAGCAAAGACAACTTTTGAATCATTTTTTATTTTGCAATTATGGTTTGGTTTTGTTACTTGTTCTATCGTTAAAATAAATTTTGTTTAATTAAAAAATTTTTTTTTTTTAAATTGACCATGTTTTTAAACATAAAAGTTGATTTTTCTTGAAAACGGTCAACTTTAGAGCTTATGACCAAGAGTACCTTTTTTGTGTAGAAAACATTGGCGGTTCGAATAGGCCTCTCAAAACCGTACATTTTTCTGGGGCCTAGAAGTTGAGGAGAAAAACACCCGCTACCCCTTCAAAATCTCCACCAATTATGAGGGAAAAAATTTTTTTTCTGGCACAAAACATAGCTTATTTTGAGTAGAAAATGCTTACAAAAGCTGTTTTTTGTACGATAAACGGTTCCGGAAATATTCGAAAAAATTTTTTTTCTAAAATTTCAACACCCTGTATCTCGAAAATTGTGCATTTTAGAGCGTAAGTTAATAGCGACTTTTTTCATCTTTTTGGATGAGTTATCACATCCTGAAGTCCTGCGCATATATTATGAAACACCCTGTATTGAATCAACAGTTTTTGTGGTTAAATACATTCAATATATTTTTGGATTTAAATTAATAGTTAATTTACATCCAAGAAAATATTAAATGTATTTAACCGCAAAAACTGTTAATTCAATTGTTAACATACATTTTCTCACAATGTACAAATGTGGCGCAAAAATAAATATCCAAACATGTCGGTGCACCGATGGCATAAAAAATCATGTCGTGATTTTTTATGCCCAAACACCGATAGCATAAAAAATCATGTCGTGAATTTTTATGCCATCGGTGTTTGGATATTTATTTTTGCGCCACATTCGTACATTGAAAAAAAAGTATACCTATATATATATTGAATCAACAGTTTTTGTGGTTAAATACATTCAATATTTTTTTAGATTTAAATTAATAGTTAATTTACATCCAAGAAAATATTAAATGTATTTAACCGCAAACACTGTTAATTCAATTGTTAACATGCATTTTCTCACAATGTACGAATGTGGCGCAAAAATAAATATCCAAACATGTCGGTGCACCGATAGCATAAAAAATCATGTCGTGAATTTTTATGCCATCGGTGTTTGGATATTTATTTTGCGCCACATTCGTACATTGAGAGAGTAAGTATACGGCCATGCCACGCGTAACGGATAGGACAGTTGCAAGTTTTTATTTACAAAATAACATTGTTCTATTATATTACTAATGTCAAATTTTTATAAATAGTTCTAAACAAAAGTCGTTTAACGAGGTTTTTATTTGGCAAAATTAGGTATTGTGGTTGTCTGTTTAATTCCTTAAAAATTAATTTTTTTATTCAAAAACAGTACTAGTAATCATTTTGTAAATAAAAACTTGCAAGTGTCCCATCCGTTACGCGTGGAATGGAATATCTTTTTTAATTGAACCCGGACAACATTCGTGATATTCAAACAACGTTTTATAAATTATAACGGTGTAATGTGAATAACAAACTAGGTTTTAAATTCGCAGTTCGCAGGGCTCATACGCATGCGCAAATTTTGCAAATATCACACCGTGAGTTCTACATGATATCACAGTGATGAAGCATGTGTGTGCACTCAGGATATAAGAGCGTGATAAAAAAAATCACGTTGTGATATCATTATGACTTCACCAGGAAATCCCGTTTGTTGTCCGGGATTGTGTAATACAATTTGTGTTGTTATTGGGCATGCAAATAGTCCTAGAACTAACGAGGGCTGCTTGATCAAACGAACCTACTATGTAGTTTAAGGTGTTCCTCAGTTGCAATTAGTCGATCAGGCTGGTTTAATTTATATTTAATAATTTTGGATATTTTGTGACTAAATTTACGAAAATTCCCTTTTTTATTTAAAGATTCTCTTTGTCCCTTTTGGCAAAAGAAAATTCCATTGAGGTGGCAATGCTACAGCTTTGTCGTCCAACCGTTCTTGGTCCCGCATTGCGCACGGTTGGCAAACTTCATATAACTTATAAATATAAAAAGAAATTAAAAAATTAAATATTATCATACATATATCTATCATTCTATCACAGTGATAGATATACAGAAGTCAGGCACCACCTTAAAGGTGGATAATCTACCTCTATAATTAAAATTCCTTGGGGTCCATAGATCATACACCTTCAAGGTGGGACACCCTGTTTGAATAAAGGTTAAAAATATTTTTTTGGGAAAAATAAGGTAGTGCCATGGCTCCATGGCACTACCTCACAAGCTGCCACATTCTTATCCAAAGTTACTTGGTTTATTCACTAGAGGGCTTTAAGTATAGTGAAAATGTATGTTTATGTTTAAAAACATGTTTATCAATTTTGACAATTTTTAAAGAATAATTGAAGTCTTTTATCAAGTGGGTTATGCTAATGTTTTTATTGGTAATGGCTCCCATTTTTTGTTTAATGAATAATTATACTTGTCTCTTAAATTACACATTGGATAATTTGTTTAGAAAGAAAAAATAAATTTAATGTCAGTATGCTTGATTAAATATAAGTAGAAAACCATTAAATGTAACTATTATAACATAAAACCAGAGATTATTTGGTTTAAAATAAGTAACCTAACTTACGAATATAAAAAAAGTTGCTTTGTTTAGCCCCTTTTTATATTGGTAAGAGATTTTGAGCCAAAAAATCATCATACAAGTATTTTACATACACCCTGTAATTAAATCTGACAGCTTGAGTAATATTTCATTTCAATGTTTTCTGTTTTTCTGAAGTTGACAGAAATTTTATTTAAATTAAATTTATTTAATTCATAATGGTTATTACCTTTGATATAGTTGGTTATGAAGCTTTTGATGAATTTATGGCCAATTTTAGTGGAAATCATAAATTGGTGCATATATTTTTTACTGCTTCAAAATGCCCAAATGGCAAGAGTTGGTCTGAAGAATGCAACAAAGTAACTCAAATCATTAAGGATGTTAGTGAACACTGTGATCCAGAATCATTTATAATCAATGTGCAAGTTGGGGATCAATTGGCTTGGAGAGATCCTGATAATCCATTTAAGAAAGATCCCAGGACCAATTTACAAGAAATACCAACCATACTACGATGGAAGTTAAATTATAAACTACAAGGAGATCGTTGTTTGGAATCAAATAATCTCAAAAAAATGTTAACAGGCGATGAAATTTAAAATAAAGTGGCTGATACCTAAATTATAACAAATAAACAGTAAAGTTAATAAAAATAATACAACTTACCACTGTAATTTCTAAATCGAAGTTCAATTTAAATTATTACAACAAATTATTATTATCCATATACAATTCCATGTTTAAGGCTGCCAACAAACAAATTCTTTTCAGAAATTAGTAATTACCCTTAAAATCCGAATTTGACAACAATCAGCTGCTAATCCATTTACCGTGTTGTAATCACAGAACAATCAAAAAACATTATGTTGAAACAAGGCCCACAATTCCCACATGCGTGGATTATTATTATGTTTAGAAAATATATTTTTTCGTAAAATATTTTATAACCTTTCAAATCTTTTTTCTTTAAAAGATTACATTTTTATTAAAAAATATAAGACATTTATTTAAAAGCAAATTAAGTCGTTGCGTTGAAATACCTTACAAAAGAAGTCCGACAACGTTGTGATTTGAGTACATTCTAGTAGTTCCCAGAGATAAAGAAGGTAGTTCCAATGTTGTATAATAAATTAAGGTGCGAATTTCAAATGTGGGTATTATTATTATTTATTATTATTAAAAAAAAAGATGGAAATTAATTTAGTTTGTGCGGGAAATTCAAAATTTCAGTGTAGCCAACGTAATATAATTGAATGTTCCCAATAGGGAATTATATTTTTTACCATTGGCAACATCGGTCAATTGACCATATGCAAGGAATGCGGTCGATGTTGCCAATGGTAAAAAAATAAAATTCCCTATTGGGAACATTCAATTATATTACGTTGGCTATACTGAAATTTTGAATTTCCCGCACAAACTGACATACATTCTAGTAGTTCCCAGAGATAAAGAAGGTAGTTCCAATGTTGTATAATAAATAAAGGTGCGAATTTCAAATGTGGGAATTATTATTATTTATTATTATTAAAAAAAAAAGATGGAAATTAATTTAGTTTGTCCGGGAAATTCAAATTTTCAATGTAGCCAACGTAATATAATTGAATGTTCCCAATAGGGAATTGTATTTTTTTACCATTGGCAACATCGACCACATTCCTTGCATATGGTCAATTGGTAAAACTGAACGTACTACGTAGTGGCGCGAATAATAATAATAAACACAAAAAATATGGAAACTACTCAAATTACTTCATTGCAAACCCTTAATAATTTTCTTTCAGAAAGAGATAATAATGAAAATGTGTTTTTTATCTCCGATATTCCTGAAGTTTGTAAAGAGTATCCATGTGTACTTGGAATTGATGAAGCTGGAAGGGGGCCGGTTTTAGGCAAGTCCCAAATTAATTTTAATATTTATAATCTATTATTCTTTTTCTACTTTTTTAATTATTAAGCCTGTTTGTAGATTTTTGAACATTCAGACTTAAATATTGGTAGTGTAATTCTATAGGTTATAATAGCCCTGCATTATTCAGGATGCATATATGAACGTTGGTAGGTATATACCCACTGATCTCATTTTAAGAACAAGGTTCGATTTTTTTAAATTATGGATACAGCAAAAATCCTTTACTTAAGTAATATTTTGTGGACTAGGTACCTACTGTCTTGCTATTTAGAAAATAAATTTTCTATTTTATTGTTATTGTTCTCTATCCATTATCTTTCCCAATACCTGACAATAAAAAAACTAACTAAATATGTGTACATTCAAAACCTGATGTTTCACGGCTTTTACACAATTTAGTTCCATTTTTCTCAAAATGACCTTCCTTTACAATAGTGGTTTATCACTGTATGGCCCACAATATAAATAAATTGACATTTCAATGTAGATCATATTTTGTTGTAAATTAGTTTGAAAATAAATATTGGAATGGAGGAATGCCCAAAGTTAATAATAATAATAATGTATGTATCTTTGGGTATGCCTCATATATAACTATAGTTAATTTTTTCCAAATCTTTATTGGAAAAGATAAAACTAATTTAGGTAAAAAAAACATTCAAAACATTACTATAGAGTCAATCCAAATGAAAACACCAAAAATGAATTTAAAAGTGCGCTGCATGATTTTTTATTTTAGAGAAAAAATTTGAGGATAATCTTTTAGGTATCATATATGAAAAACCGTTGCCGTTTTAATTTTTTGTTGCTTTATTTTTAATTGGCACCCTTTAGAAAACAGGAATTGTGTCATTTTCTTACTCTCTTATAAGAGGCTAAAACTTTTTTTCTGTGGCAATTATTGAAATGATTGTAATTTTATTTTACTGCCTAGTAAGTATGTTTTAAATATTAATTATTATTATCTAATTAGTTCATCTCATAAAAGAATGGTAAATCACTAAAGATTCGTAATAATTTGCCAATTTTTGTGATTTTTGTCTGGCTCCTGACCAGTGGCGTAGCGACAAATTTCGGGCCCCCCCGCGAAAATCCCTACTGGGTTCCCTGATTTCAGGTGTTTTTTACATGGTTTTATATTGTTAATAAAAAATAATACACCCGGTGAAATGATTTTTTAAATTATTTATAAACGAAAAGTAACAAAAAAATAATTTAAAAAAATAAGGTTCTCCACTGTACCTACTTATAAATTATAAGTAAAAAAATAGAAAAAAATAACATATTTTTTTAACATAAAAATCAGAAGCAGTCACAAATAAGAACCTACTTGAACCAATACGAATATAAAACAAAAACAAACTAACAACTTGTGAATCACAATCGTCAAAATTTTAGGGGTTCGCAAAGAGAACGCTTCAGAACTGTCAGAATAATACGCATAACTAAATGCGCATATCTGTTTAGAGTTAGGCGCATGTTTCCAAGTTCTGAATCTTTCCTGCGTAAACCCGCTGTCAATTGTTAAATAAGCGCGATTTTTAAAATTCATCAAAAGGTTCCGTTAGATGTTTTACATTTATGTTGTGATGGTAGGCCAATAATATCAAGTACCTACCCAATAAACATTTGTGATATCACGAAAAAGTCACGACGTGACATGTCACAACTTGATATCCAATTGCTGGCACAGTAATAATAATAATAATAATAATAAATACTTTATTGATCCCAAGAAACATAGATTGTTTATAGAGGGACAAACTCTAAACATATAATAATTACAATAAGTATATCTATCACAGTGATAAAACATTATCTTATAAGATAATTATAGTCTTACAAATATACAATATACAAACATACTTTATACATTATAATACCTATACCTAATTTACATATTTACTGAACTTTTTTTTTTTCAAATTCAATACTTAAGAAGAAGACACGCAGGTTAGCCTCTTATCAAGGATTGAAATACTCTTTTATATGTCTTGTCGATTTTGTTTTTATATCTTCTGGTAAGCTGTGATTAAGTTTGTCGTTTTATGTCAAGCAGTGACACGCGCGTGATCTTTTTATGTCACGACGTGACCCCGCAGGGACGAAACATTACTTTAATTTGTTCATAATACTTTAATTACGTATTATGTTATTATTGTTAGACAAAGACTTTTTTCTTTAATACACGTTATAGATTAATGATTTTAAACAATTATTTCCCCAAAAATATATAACTTCACTTTATATTTGTTTGCGATTTTGCAAGCGAAGAAAAAATATAAATTCGTTTCCGTTTTATTTGTAATCTATAAATAATAATAAACTTAAAAAAGCAGTATCATACCCAAATTTTATTTGAAATATCTATTTGGGATGTTCCAGCGCCGCCTCTGGATTAACTAAATTTAATTTACATTAAATTAAGCCCTTTGCCTACTTCTAAAAACCAAACAGGTTTTATCAAATTCGCCCAAAAAATAAATATGTGACACCCTGTATACATGTAGGTATTATACTTATATGATACTTGATGCACCCTGTATAAAGGTAGTGTGCAAAACTGGTCTTATTATTATTTTATTTAAATAAACGTTGACTGTTAATATTTTAGCCCATAATTTTGTTTCACCCAAGGCCGCAAGTATGTTGAAGCTGTGATATACGATAAGAGGGTCGTTGCTATTGTTACTAGCGATGCAGCGTGTTTTAAAAGACGTTGCATCGCAATTAACGATAGCGACGACGCTTTTTTCGTTCACAGCTCCAACATGTTTTAAATACCCCTGCACTTTCGCTCGCGCATGCGCGCTACCAATGTCATGGAGTGATATCCCATTGAGTGCGTATTGCGCTTGAATGTCACGACTTGATATCCCATTGATTGTGTATTGTAGAAACATATGAATGCGCCAGTGATATCACGATGTCACGACGAGATTTCGGAGTGATTTCAATACGCAATCACAAATGTTTACTGGGTACCTACATTTTAGTAAATTATGATATTTTTAATTAATCATTAATTATTATTCAATTTTTATTATAAGTAAGATGGAAATAAGTATTTTAATGTTTTGGGGCAAGTATCGGCCGGGCTCCCTACGAGGTTAGGGCCCCCCGCTTGGCGGGCGTTCGCGGTACTGTCGCTACGCCACTGCTCCTGACTCAGCCTTCATTGCTCAAAAACGTGCACTTCGATCAATGTTACACTTAAAACGCACAACATCTTGCAAACCGTATTTTAAGGAGTTAAATATTATGCCGGCATACAGACAAGGTAACGGCATGCCGTTACCTTGTCTGTATATCTACAATATGCTTTTGTTTACAAAAAAAAATCCAGGACTGTTTACTAGAAACATGGACGTATTTGATAACATGAATATGAGAGGCGGTGCACTATTAAGAGTTCCATTACATAGGTCTTAGCATGCTAAAAATACAATACTGCACTAGACCACAGATATAATTGTTCTATGATCGCGAAGGTAGTTAACTACTTTTAGACAAAAATGGAGTTAATGACTTTTGCCAGAACGGGGACGATATATTTCCTTTCAAAATTTGTCTAGTTAGTGTTTTAGTCTCACAATTTTGTTCTTTTTCTGACCATGCTTATGTCATTGTATATGATCTTATTGGCAAATAAATATATTATTAGTATTATTAAATATTAGTATTATTAAATATATTATTATTATTATTATTCTGCTAAATCTAGAAAGTTGCTTTTTTCAGGTATCAAGTACTTATACAATAGAAAACGTAACTATTATTTTAAGTTTCTAGACCATCATTTTCATTATTAAAAAAAATATTGAAACTTGATAATTTTTAAAATTAGCCAATTTTGATCTCAGAAATCATTATGTTGAGGAAAAAATAAAAATGTGAAACTTTCAGGAAATGTAGTCCCCACCTTCATCTTTTCAGTCTAGTTAGTCTTGTTTTGTTATTTTTATCCATGTAAATTTTTTTAAGGCAGTTAAGAAGCGATATTGTTAGTTTTATTTATAATTTAAAATTTAGATGGCTTTGACTTAGTCAACTCATGTTTGGAAATGTCAGAACTGTCAAAAATATTTCATAAATATTATTTGTGCGTATTTAAATTGTAATTTCAAAGTTTGCAAGTGTAATAAATGAAGGAGTGTTCGAGATTCATGAATTTAATTGCAATTAAAAATGCAAGAACATATTATAATTTTGTACCTCTTTCTCATAGAAAATATTCAAGTTCTGAGAAGTTTTAAATTGTTAAAAATAAGCAAAAACCAAAAAATATTCTAAATAAACCCCTTTATTTTAACATGTTTAACCAGTTACCTAAAAACTAAAATTTAAAGAAGTATTTACAGATTGTGTAATTATTTTTCCAACACTAACATTTAAAATACCCGGACAACAATCGGGATTTCCTGGTGAAATCATGATGATATCACAACGTGATTTTTTTTGTCACGCCGTGATATCCTGAGTGCATACAGATGCTTCATCACAGTGATATCATGTAGAACTCACGGTGTGATTTTTGCAAAATTTGCGCATGCGTAATAGCCCTGCGAACTGCGAATTTAAAACCTAGTTTGTTACCTGTTGATTCAACATAACTTTTCTCTTAGTGTACGAACGTGGCGCAAAAATGATTATCAAAACACCGTTGGCATAAAAAATCACAACATGATTTTTTATGCTATCGGATGTTAGGATATTTATTTTTGCGCCACATTCGTACATTGTGAGAAAAAGTATGTTAACAATTGAATTAACAGTTTTTGCGGTTAAATACATTTAATATTTTCTTGGATGTAAATTAACTATTAATTTAATTCCAAAAAATTATGGAATGTATTTAACCACAAAAACTGTTGATTCAATATAATATATTGAATATACAGGGTGTTTTGTAATTAATGTTATATATTAAAATGGGTTGTTCCTTAGGGTCCATAAAGAAGCACCTGAAACTTTTTTTTT